CTGATCTTGCTGCCACCTAATGATCGAGTAAGGCTGTTAATGTGTTGAGTTCTATACAAGGAAACCAAGAGATGAACAAACAGCTCGTGAGAGTTCACTATCCGCAATCTTGATGCTCTCTTCCCTCCCTGCACAATAAGCAATGTGCTAAAGCCTACACAGCATTAAAGGTTACCCTGCCAGGCAGTGGAGGAAGTAGGAAGAGAAAAGGAAGATATGGCAGGAGGGGGAAAGAGAGAAATTCTCTTTACACTCCTTTCCCTCTCACGAATCAATACTTGCTTTCCAAATCTAGGACTGAATCTGGTCACATTGAAAACATTCAGGGAAACATTGATCCACAGCTCTCACACAGCCAAAACACATGCTGTACAACAGCATGAGTCAGTAAGCAGCAACTCAAACAGCCCCTGCAAATCCCCTGCAATTAATCTGAGGATCACCTCTTCGTGTTCCTTCTGTGGAACTGGCAGTGTGCTGGGCGGCAGCGAAGGTGGCAGTCTAAGCCTGACCACCCTTGAGAATTGCCGAGGCTCTCCAGCAGAGCACATAGTACTCGGTTCTTCCAAAACCTCCCCATTGCTGCACTGTACCTGTCATCAGAACAGGGAACCACAACACGGAGCACAAACGAAGTCACTGCTCTGAGCATGCATCAATTAGGGGAAGAGCAGATGGCTGAAGCCAGTAAATCAGGATAGTTCATTCTGCAGCAATCTGTATAAAAATTATTTTTCTTGAAACAATGTAGTTTTCAAATATGACACTACACCTGCTTTATCCTCTTTATTTGAAGTCAAATGTTCATAGATGTGAGCATTTTTGTATATATTTCTCATTAACAAGTTACATTACTGAAACTTGGAATACTTGGGAATCACTCCAACAGCAGAACTGTGATCAGTTAAAAAATGGTAAGATTTGTGTGCCATGGCCTAACCTCAGGTGTCTACCAAATGTAGAACATCACAGACTTCTGAAAAGCAAGAAATATTTGGTTAATTTGGGCTTAATATATTCCTGGCAATTTCCTTGATATCATTGAAGATTCCCTTGATTTGCTAACATGCTAACACACATAAAGAAAACACATGCTTCACTGTCAAGCTACTCCTTTATCCATTTACTTGAAAATGAATGAGAAAGTACGAATAAACTCATTCCTCTTACAAGACACGTAACATATTGTAACATGAGAATACAAAGTCTCACATAAACTCAGTATTTTTAATATTCTCATAAAGTCTGTCTTTACACAGTGATTTCAAATAAGTTGTTTGTGCTCCAAAATGCTAAGCCCTCGCAGAAGAGGCGTTCGTCACCTCTGACACGCTATACATCTGAAGGCTTTGGGCTCAACCAAAAATAATTTCTAATAAAATAACATGCAGGAAGTGTCAGAGCACCATGATACCACTGCAATGGGTAAGGGACTTTGCCAGCAGTTTAACAGGACAGACAAGATTCTGAATGCTTTTCTGTTAAGAAACCATGCTCAAGCCACAACTTTCTACAACAGGTCATGAGTACACGAAGTTGTATTAATGACTTTTCTATTTACTGTTTACAAAAATGCATTAAAACCTAAGAGTTCAGGAAGTCAAGCACTCAAATGAACAAACCCCAGATTTAACCATAAAGCATTTGCTTCTTCGTGCTGCCTTTAACTATGTAATTAGTTGTTGTTCTTGCAGAGGAAACAATGCAGAGCATGGACTTCAGGAAATGAATCAACTGTGAAACAGGTCTTCAGCCATACCTCTTTATAGACACTGCGTGTGACCAAGTTGTGAAAAATGTTTAGCACACACCTCTCACGCAAAAAAAAAAAAAATAGTGTGCAAACAGGATACAATTAAAATACCAAGCACAGAAACAACACGGAGAAATGCACTGGAAGGTAACAACAGAGCTCTGCAGAATACCTCTTACAGACTCAGAGATGGGAAAAGATGTTATTTGTGTCTAGAAACAAAGATACTAAGCCTAAACCCTGGAGCCTTTCACTCCAGCTGGAAAAACCCAGGCTAAATTCAGCTGAACACTTTAGAGATGGTTGAGTTTAAGATATTACTACTTAAATACTGGACTAAATGGCATATATCCTCTTCATCCACTCCAATGTAAAGTTAAAGTCTGTAGATAGGCGGGCAAAGAGAAAGAAGTTGCTTCTCAAGTAGGTTTGACTGCACATCTACCGAGATCAGACTATCCTCAGCTGAGGAGTATGAAAGACTTTGTTATTTTAACTGCAGGTCACAGCTTTGAAAGCAAAGAGCTGCAGAAGAGGTGTAGAGTGACTATCACAGGCAGCAGCTGAGGATTACTATAAGGAGCCCTGACCTACACGAGGGTTATACAAAGGGGAAAAAGAGGGCTCACTTTAAACTGCTGGATGCCTGAATCTACTTCTTAGGGGTGGCAATCTCATACCGAGGTAAGCATTTTAGACTGCACAAGCAGGCACTAACACTGGTGCCGTTTCCAGAATACTAACACTTCCTCCTTATACATTACCACAATTCCAATTACTACCCAAACAGCACAAATGTGGCAAGTGTTCTGAAAAATAATAGTCTGAAGCACTCAAGCAGGGCACAGTAATATTTCATAGCCTCTCTAGAGCTCAGTTCTGCAAGGTATTAGAAAACTGGATCAAACTGCAACTATATCCACTGGGCAAGAAGACCATACCAAAAGCCCCCACATAAACAGCTTCCCAACCTGCCTTTAGCCAAGCTGATCTGTGGCATGCTTGCAGACCAGTAAACTGAACTGAACTGAATTGCAGAAGCAAGTTTCAAACTGTATTAAAACCGATAGAAAAGGTAGTTCCAGATTGAACATTTGCTGACAAAAGGCAGTAATTCTCTCAGTAGTACTAAACAGATGTTTTATTTTTGTTTGTTTGTTTTTACAATTTAAACTAAATTTATGCATGTTAAAGAAGAAAAAAGCATTCCCCTAGGGGCAGCCCAAGTTAACTCCGCTCTTGTAACCTAGCATGATACACTTTCTATAGGCTAAACTAATTTTTAATATCAAGGTCGGTATGTTCCACTCAACTCTCTCACAAGTAACTCAACATGTTTCTGACAGCGTTAAAAACAGAGCTCACAAGCAAGCAAGCTCATCAAGACATGCCCCTGACATGAAGGCTCTTTGCTCTCTTTTCTCTGTTGTTTTACATACTCTGCCTGCTACCCTCGAGAAGCCCCAGATTTCACTTACTACTAGGCAGCTACCTCTGCTGCTGACATTTGGCTAGAAGCTGAAATTCATACAAGCTACCTAAATTAACACTTCTAACATACACAGTCTGAACAGGTTGAAGGTACTGGCTGCCCTCTCCTTTACATACTATTTCAGATCTCACAATTAAAGAAAACATACATAATAAATCCACCCCATACTAGTATTTTAGTAGAGAACTACATACTTCAGCTCTCAGGTAACAAGTCAAGTACAAACACAACACTTCTAAGCCTAACACTCCTTTGCTGCCAATCAAACAGGACATTGCTTGTCCTACAAGAGAATATTTGATCACATTTTTCTTGCCTGAAAGACTAACACCCCTCTCACCAAACTCCTAAATGTAAACTCTTTCTTCCCGCTTCATCATGCATCAGCACCCTTGCTCTATCTGCAAGCGTTAACACCAAAACTAGATCTAGATCACACGAGAGCTCCACAAGCGCTGAGTAGTACAGAGTAAGGACCCGTTGTACATTAATTAGAACATTCCTATGTTTATGTGTGAGCTTTTCCTCACAATGCCAGTCACTGACTTCTCTGTCTGACCTAGTGTGCCTTCAACGTTACTTCCAGCAGTGCTACTGCCACATCAGCTACACTACCTTGTATTTATTGACTTCATTTCCCTGTCTCTGCTAAAGTCCTGCACTGCTGTTTAGTCTTGCTAGGTTTGCACAAATCTCCAGTTTAGAGATAAGGACCAAAAACCATACATCACCTTGATAAAGTAATTGCAAGATCCCAATCCTGTATAAGTGTATCCTGCACTTTAGTGTCCAGAGCCCATTCAAAACCTCTTGTACTCTGACTGATTATCAAAAACTACCAGCCACACATTTCTCTAAGAGCTCTGCATTCGCTGCAATTTCATTTAGAAAAAGCTTCCCCTCTCAATGCTCGTCTTCCCTCGCTCAACAGACCAAAAAGCTATTACAGCAGACCTCATTATTCTGCCAGCACCAGGCCCCTCAGAACTGATCAGAGACTTGGAAACTGCTTCACCTCTCCAGCGGCAGAGCCAGAAAACACTCTCCCACCCGTTCTGCAGTCAGCAATAACGCCGGGATTCCGGGCTCCAGAGACCAGCGTTACCATGCCCCAACCCAACAGCTGTACAGCTGCCAGCAGCTCACTCCCCAGGCCCCGCAGCACCTGGGCCCGGCCGCCCGCAGGCCGACGGCTGTCTCAGGAAGCACCACAGATTTCTTCCTTATTGCTTCTATCACTCCGCAGAAGGCCGTGGGCTTGTCAGGACTGAAGCCACACACGTCGCAGCCACGATCCCGACCTCCCAGTACGGAACCGCGCCTGCCCCGAGGGGAGCTGGAGGCGAAGACAGACAGCCCCGCTGCCGGCTCCTGAGGAAAGCAGCCCGGCCCGCCAGCCCCCCACACAACCGGGGGGCATCCCCGTCCCTCCCGGGCCCCCGCTCTCACTTGAGGTGGTCCAAGGAGTGGATGCTGCGGGCGGCCTTCCCGTGCCCGCCGCCCACCCAGCTGCGGGAGCGGCCGAACATGGCGGCGGCGGCCCCTAGGGCTCCATAGCGCGACGGGCACGGGGGACGGGTGCCGCGGGGCCCCCGGCGCACAGCACGGCCGGCAGGGCGCACGCGCGGCCGGGGCACGCCGGGAAGCGAGGCCTGGACCCCGGGCCCGGCGGCGCTGCGGGGACTTCAACTCCCAGCAGACAGCGCGGCGCGCTGAGGGCTGCCCCTCCGCCATTACGAGTGGGGGGCTCGGCGCCGGCGTACCCTCAGGGCGCGCGGGTCGTGACGGGCGGGGAGAAGCCGGTCCGGGCGCCGGGGGGCACGGGAATGGAGATGGGGCTGGCGGTGCCGTGCCCTCTGCCGAGGGCTTTTGGTCTGCACCGCCCGTCTGGGCTTACGCTGCCTGGTTTAAAGCGGGACAAGGGGAGTGGGAACGTTAGTGGCAGCTGGCTGGGGGGGATCCGCGTCAGTTGAATTCCTTAAATAGCTGAAGAAATTAAATCTCGTAAAAAAAAAAAAAAAAAAAAAAAAGTTGGTAGTGGTGTCTTTGGTCGTACTTTGATACCGGCAGAGCACTGCTGACGAACGGCAGCGCCTCGCTGCGCGCCGCTGAGGGACGGGGGCGCCCCTCGGTCCCCGGGGGCGGTAGCGCTGGGGCCGGGCCGTGTCGGCGGGCCTGGGCTCGGCCCTGCGCACGGGAGCGCGCCCGCCGAGCCGAGCCGCCAAGCGGGAGGGCGGGCGGCGCGGCGGGACTGCGGCAGCCGGGCCGGGCTGCCCCTGGAGCGCCTCCTGCCAGCGGCAGGGCTGCGGCACCGCGCTCAAGCCGGGTTCGCCGGGCTCGGCCTCTCTGCGGGGTCCGCATCGGGCTCCGGCCCCGGCGTTTCGCCCCCTTCGTCCCCCTGCCCCCCCGGCGAGGCTGCGGAGCGCGGCCCCCCGCAGCTGCATGCCCGCCGCCGTGTCGGCACGGCTGGATGCGCTGGAGTCCTGGGCCTTCCATGCGCTGCTGGCGCTGCCCTATATGTTCTACGTGGGCTTGTTCTTCGTCAACGTGCTGATCCTGTACTATGCCTTCCTGATGGAGTACATCGTCCTCAACGTGGGCATCGTCTTCCTGCCCGAGGACGTGGACCAGGCTCTGCTGGACCTGGGAGTGCTCTCCGAGCCGGGTTCCGTGCTCTACGAGACGGACGGCGAGCTGGATGTCTTTGACGGCTACCTGGAGTGACGCCCCGGGGCGGCTGCGGAGCGGGCTTCCCGGGATGCCCCCGCTCCACCCGAGCGGCCCCTGCCCTTCGGGACGCCGCAGGGGAGCCGGCAGCAAACGGAGGGCTCGCAGGGCAAGTAAGTCACTGCCGCTGGCTCCTCTCGGCTGCCGGGCTCCCGGGGCCGGGCCGGGCACAGGGAACAGCCCCGCCGCCCGGCCGGGTGCGCGGAGCGGGTTGGGGGCCGGGGCTGTACGTCCCCGGGGCTCTTCCTGCCCGTGTGGGGTTTGCAGCCGAGCAACAACTTCGCTAATCGGGTCTTAGAGCAGCGCCGAATGGAAGTGATAACGCAGGGCAGTATTTAGCCATACACCGGAGGTCACACACTGCTCATAAACACATTTTAAATAGCCGCCCTTTAATAACTGCACTTAGATAACATGAAACCACCCAACTGACCGTTCTCACGTTTATCGCAGCCCCAGGGTTTGCTTGATCAATTTGTTCTGTACTTCTGAGCGATGTTGGAAGCCTGGGAACGTTGTAAGGATTTTGGCGTTTTAAACCACTGAAATGCAGTTGGGAAGCGAATCAGTATTTCCAGCTGGGACACTCTGTGCCAAGTGTATGTTAATGAAAACATTCACAGTTTAAATAAAAATGTGTTAGCAAATCTGCCAGTATAATTTCTTAGCAAAATATTGGCTGTAAGTTTGAAAATCAGTTTAGGATACCTTTTTAACTTTCTGTTTGAAAATAGGGAAATAAGAAATTCTGTTCTAAGGTTGCAGACATAACCTTGGTGAACATATTATACAAATACCATCTGACATCAAGCTATTTTTATCAGTCTTCCAATTTAAAAACAAAACAAAACCTTTTCTGTAATACTGTCCATCATACAGGTTAAAACTATCTTCCTAAATATTTCTGTTAAGATTCCATATAAAGCAATGGTAGCAGTTTTTGATCAATAGTTTAGAACATAAAAAATGGAAATTGGTGGTGTTGGATTAATATTGATTGCATAAACACGTCTGAGCAAAGCTTGGTCAAAGGCAAGTGGGAGCATGGGGAGAAAAGATTTGTGCTGCTACTGAAGAAATTCCCCCACAAACAGTTATTACAAATAAAAGTGTGTGTACACACATTTGGTGGTCCATCCCAGACTACTGGGTTAGAATAATTTTTGGCAGTCCCAAAGATCTGTAGCAGAACTCAACTCCCCGCACAACACTGTTGGCTACTTCTTGTAGCTGTCTCCTCCTCTCCCTTTTCAGTTGGGCATATAACATCCAGGCTCAGAACACAGACAATGCAATTCAAAAGTCTTCCTAAGTACCATTCAAACCAGTATCTCCTCTCTTTCAGGAAAGAAGTGCATAATAATGGAAATTTAAGCAAAACCTTTGGTGCAAAAAGTCCTAACCCTTTGCTACCCAAAAATACCTTTTCCCAAACCCCAGATCTTAAAACTCCAATGTAATCTAATGAAAAATATTAAAAAATAATTAAAAATACTAACAATTAGTAAGGGATTAAGGGATCACTTATATGCTGACTAGGATTTGTTATGATGAGCTGCATATAGTTTTCAGGAAGACCTAAGGAGAACAACACACATAAAGCTTACTCTGTGGATTTTTCCTGCTACACAGTTCAATACAACACAGGATCTGAGCACAATTCTGTTCAATGCATGTATATGGGCATCTTAAAATTTGCCTTCATATTAATAGGATAAGAAGCTCTGCAAAATACTCGATATTCTCAATTTAAAACAATGTCACCTCTATATGTGGAAATGCAAATGCCTTCACAGAGCTCAGAAGTAAGCCTTAGCCCATGCTCCATCTTGAGGTGATGGAGCTCTGCACAAGGACTAACTGTAGCCTTGACCTTTGGTTTGGAAGTTGACATGTTAGATTATTGTTTCCATTGAGAATCAAATCACAAATCTTTTAAGTTAGATCAATTATATTAGATTAGAGATATTAGATAAATATTAGAGAACAAAAAACATGCTATTGCTGCACTTTATTTCACAGAATCGTCAAGGTTGGAAGAGACCTCCAAGATCACCTAGTTCAACCTCTGACCTAACACTAACCAGTCCTCCACTAAACCATATCACTAAGTTCAACATCTAAACGTCTTTTAAAGACCTCCAGGGATGGTGACTCAACCACTTCTCTGGGCAGCCCATTCCAATGCCTAACAATCCTTTTTGTAAAGAAGTTTTTCCTAATATCCAACCTAAACCTCCCCAGGCACAACTTTAGCCCCGTTGTCCAGTCACCAGGCACGTGGGAGAACAGACCAACCCCCACCTCACTACAGCCTCCTTAAAGGTACCTGTAGAGAGCAATAAGGTCACCCCTGAGCCTCCTCTTCTCCAGGCTGAACAATCCCAGCTCCCTCAGACGCTCCTCATAAGACTTGTTCTCCAGACCCCTCACCAGCTTCGTCACCCTTCTCTGGACTCACTCAAGCACCTCCATGTCCTTCTTATAGCGAGGGGCCCAAAACTGAACACAGTACTCGAGGTGCGGCCTCACCAGAGCCAAGTACAGGGGGACAATCACTTCCCTAGCCCTGCTGGCCACACTGCTTCTTATACAAGCCAGGATGCTGTTGGCCTTCTTGGCCACCTGAGCACACTGCTGGCTCATATTCAGCCAACTATCAACCATCACTCCCAGGTCCTTCTCTGCCTGGCAGCTCTCCAACCACTCATCTCCCAGCCTGTAGCTCTGCTTGGGGTTGTTGTGCCCCAGGTGCAGGACCAGGCACTTGGCCTAATTGAACTTCATACAGTTGGCCTCAGCCCATCGGTGCAGCCTATCCTGCAGAGCCTTCCTACCCTCAAGCAGATCAACACACACACCTAACTTGGTATCATCTGTGAACTTACTGAGGGTGTACTCGATCTTCTCATCCAGATCATCGATAAAGATATTAAAGAGGACCGGCCCCTGTACTGAGACCTGCGGAACGCCACTAGTGACCGGCCTCCAACTGGCTTTGACTCCATTCACCACAACTCTTTGGGCCCAGTTATCCAGCCAGTTTCTAACCCAATGAAGTGTACGCCAGTCCAAGCCAAGAGCAGCCAGTTTCTTGAGGAGAATGTTGTGAGGAATGGTGTCAACCATCTATTAATATACTTAATTATATGTTCGGCAACCAGGCCACAAATTGCATAATTATTTAGCCACAAGGCAAAGACTCAGTATGTCACCATGGAAAGGAATTTGTGTTAATATCCTGGTTACAGGGTTTGTCACAGCTCTGTGACATTTGTCACCACCAGTTCCCCATGTTAAGCCATAGGCTTAGGGAGGCTTGCCATGTTTGCTTCGACCCAGAAGTACTGAGGATTCATCAGACACTGCAGGAAGAGTGGGTCTTAGTTTTATAAGGAGAGATTAGAAATATATAGGCATCACTCACTGCATAAAGTGTAAGAGTAGTGTTCTTCATGTGACTCACCAGTGATTATCGAGAACAACTAAAAAGCTATGATTAGCCCTAGCTGAAACCTTGAAAGTGTGCTCCTTGCTTTTAGAAAGTGCTGCCTTCCACCCAGGAGGTGAATGGCATGCACAAACAGAGAGACAAAGAGAGGAAACCTAAAGAGGCAATTCTTCGCAGTGTGGAAAGGCTTATTTAGTATCAAAGAGCATATGGATCAGAAAAGTTCTGCTCTCTTGCAATGAAAACCTCAGCTGAATAAACCCAAAAGGAGCAAAGTTCTGTTCTAAGCATAATTGGTGGCAGAGGTTGAAGATAGACAACTAAGCAGCTCGAAGAAGCTTCCTATCCTATTCAAATGGCGAATTCTATTTGTGTAACCTCAGCAGAATTGAGCTTACTCATGTCATCTCCTGTTTTAGCTTGAGTGTGCCAGATTCTTTGTTATATTTGAAGTCTCCTGGAATAAGGTTGTATGACTGTTCTCTTTGTACTCTTTTAAAATCAGTTGTGACTCATCACAAAGTACTCTAATCAGAAAGAAAATGAGCAAGAGTAATCAATAATGAAAACCAAGTAGGAAATACTGGAATTATCAAGGTAAATTTTGATGTATGCCTTTGGTGAGCAGAATCCAGCACTCAAAAGCTTGTGACTCAGCACTTCTGCTCTTTGCCAACATGTAAATCCTGAATCAGTCAAAGAAATAGCTGTACTCACTAGCTGATCAAATAGTGCCAATTGGAAATGAAGGTTCAGCAGCTGTAAGAGGCAGTATGGCCCAGTGGAGAGGGAAAGAAGCATGCTGGACTCCTTCCTTCATCTCCACTGGTGGCTTCTATGAGCTTAACACACTTATGCCTCTGTTCCATTTCTAAAACAAAATGCCACATAAAGGAATAGATCAGAAGAACATTATCACTGGCAGTGCTAAGATGCACATAAATGTATTAGAAACCAGCTCCTGATTTGGAATTGTAAAAATAATGAGCAGTGATTGTTTTTTGTTTTTTTTTTTTTTTTTGTTTGTTTTTCCTTTTAATTTTTCACTATGTTCTTCCCTTATTTGTAGAAATCTTCATGTGGAAAAAAAGTGACTCATTGACTTCACGATATGCACAATTTGTCCATTTTGTTATCAGTTATAGTAATGACAGGTTTAAGAGCAATAGATGGAATTTTTAGAACTGTATGTTTTAAACTCTTAGGCATTACTAAAATTAACGGAAGTTGAATGTTCAAACTTGCCTGGCAGCTCTGTTGTAAAGGCTATTGTACTCCAACTATTCTTAAAAGGAATTCCATCCTAGATGGAAGAAAGACGAAATCATGGTTAACTAATGAACTAGCCATTCAACCTCGTTAACCATAGCCAGGCACAGTCCTAAGTGATTTTCTATCAAATGTCTTTGGTAATATAATGCAAAGGAGCAGGCAGATTTTTTGTAAAGTTTTCTAGCAGCTGCTGTTAATAACATGAATTGAAATAAGGCACAGAAAAATAAGAGGCATTTAGCTTAAGATAGAAACACTTAAGGTCTGAGTATTTAATTTGTTAAAACCCCCAGACACAGGTGATTTTAAAGAATTTTTTATAATCTCATTTCTTTAGTTCTTCCCTATAAAATGAAGTTTAATCAGTTTGCTTTAATAGCAGGTGATAATATCCAGTTACTATTTTTAAGCTGCCAAAGGAATTAAAAAATGAATTCAATATAATTCTTTGTGTTTGTTTCCTCCAGAGAACTAGCAAAATGCTATTAGTCAGATGGCAACTAGCAATCCTAAAACAGAAGAATAATTTGTTTAGAAAAGTTTAGGATGTATACTTGACCATTTGAACTCTTTGTATTTCTTCCTTCATGATGATTGTAATTAATACAGAGTACAAGTGTCCCAAAGAATTAGAAAGTGCACAGAAATAGCTAAGTCTTTCCATTTCTTCAGGGAAACTTTCATATTGTCTCTCTCTTTCCAGTTATGCAAGCTCAAGTGTTTTGTCTGGCCACAAGCTTGGGAAAAAATATCTGTAGAATTTGAATGATACTCTCTGTATCAGATATTAGGGGATTAAGAACCTGCCCTTTTGAGGCTTGATAGAAGGGTTTTGAGTGGAGTGGGACCAGTGGAAATGGGGAGGAAAAATTCAGCTGCAACCAGTGGCTGAGAGAAGTCCCACTGCTCAGACTCTTCTTTTGCTGTGGACCAACCAATTCACTCTTGGCGCTGGAGATGGGCACTGAGAAGCATCAGTTTTGTCACCTGCTATGGGGAAGGCATTGATGAACTTTCCTACAGCCTGGGAAGGGCATCTCTTCCCTATTGCTAAACAGCATTTTTCTCCTTTGGCACAGCACATGGAGAAGAGGGTTTTGGTCACTCATGTTCTGTTCAGAAGGCAGAGAACCTGATTCCTCTTCTGGGGGAGTTGTATACTCCATCCAACCGTGATAATACAGGCAGAGACTAATGGGACCCATATATGGAAGTACAAATATAGTGGAAAATAATCATATGCACAAATGATTTATCGCTGTGTAAAGCTCTAGTAAGTGACCTAAGACTATTTATTCTTTGAAGTAAGACTACTTTTTGAAGGGCCAGAAGAAAAGAGCCGAGGCTTGCTCAGGTACTACAGCCCAAACAGGAGGTGGTATTGGAAACACATTCATTTGGAAAGTCAGGAAATAGATGGCAGACAATGTCAGGATGCAGAACAGAGTCACTGCGTTTCCTTTGGTCCAGCCCAAATCCATGACTGAGTTTCTTCTTTTAATGCTGGAGTTGTGCTCTAACAGCTGCATTATTAAATGCTTACAAGGGTTTTTAAGCTGTTGGATCTGAAATTTGAAAAAAGAGTTGCTAACCTTTTTGTTTTCCATTTTTAGGGAAATGTTGGAAGTTTTCTGTTAAGAATTAGGTTCACATGAAATTTGAAGAACAGGCTTCTAACTGGCTGAATAGAAAGGCAAGATTGAATATCCTGGTCAAGTGTATCATTCACACACCGTTTAATATCTGCCACTACAAATTACTGTCTGGGACTAGCAGCCCTACGGCATTATTTGAAACTTCAGTTAGCTTTATGCTTTTCTTTGGAAGCCCAATACATTTTGCGGTGCTATTTTTAAGTCAGCCTTGGTTTCGATCCACAATGCAGAACACTAACAATGTCTGAACTATCTGCTGGTTTTAGTTGAGTTTGGAAAGCGATCAGATAAACTTCAAGTGAGTAACCCATTAGAACAATTGTTTCCCCTTAGTTTAAGAAATATGGACAATAAATAAGGATATTGAGCATATATGATTACTGTTAGCAGGGTGTTGCAGCTGATTAACATTTGATAGAAGGGCCTCATGGACACAGAAGTGTTCTGTGTTCATGTCTTAGTATCTACTAGGTAGCAAACAGGAACATAGGAAATGCTGTGATGAGTCAGACCAAAATCACCTGGCTTCACGTTCCAGCTCTGACACTGGCAGGAGATGCCATTTGAGACCACACATAAATATGACTGAAAGCTGCAGCCTGTTGCCTTTGTACTTTTCATACTCCACAGTGGAAGAACCAGGGATGTTAGAGGGCACACTGCTGCCCAGCCCTTCAGCGACTGTTTTCCAATTCCTTCTCTCTACCTCTTAAGACTGAGATGAGCTTCTTTGCTCCACTTCTTGAAATACAGGACCAGAAGTGCACATAATGCTCCTGATGTAGGCACACAATGGCTTCATATGGCTCTTGTTGTCTTGTTCTCACTATCCTTCATGATGATGCCCAAAATTTTTTAGCAGTGGGTTTTTTAGGTGCCACTGCTGAGATAGGGACTTCAGGGTCTTGTCAGTAGTGATTATTAGTTGTAATTGCCAGCTACAACTTCTGCATCATGTAGGCAGGTGCAAAGTATTTGTCTGTAATTGCATTATATTACCATTAAGTAAAGTCACCTGCAGCCTTTTGCCCATTCGATGTCATGAGGTCCTTCTGGGGTTTTTTGCTATCATCATCTGAATATCTGGAAGAGCTTATTTTCTGCAGTCATGGAGGTTTCTCTGTTTATTCTCTTCTCTGGCCCACTAATGGTGTTGTTGAATAAAAACTGTTCTCTGGTATACCCTGCTACTGACTTCTTTCCTATCAAGCTCTGTTCTTTACTTCAATCTTTTCATACGCTTTCAATCCATAAAAGAACCTTTCTCCCTGTGTCAACCTGTTTGCTTTACAGCTTTCTGTAATTAATTTGTTAATGATACCATGTTCCTCAGTCTCTCCATGCTCATCCAGAACACGTGACAATTGCATTTCATTCTTCATTCAGACTCCTCACAGCGTCTGCTTTGTCTTTTGCACCTGAACTCATGGCAATCTCTCTGCCTCAGGGCCTGTGTGCTAGAGGACTGGGTTGGCAGGGCAAAATGACCTGCTGAGCCACTACGCCAAGCACAGAAAGTGACCAGGCTGTTTTGCCCTGCAGCCCAGTGAGAGCCTATTCAGAGAACTCCATGATCTGTGAATAGATCATGGTCTGCTCCATGATGTAAAGCAGATCTGTTAGAAGGCCCGTTAAGACCCCCAGCTACAGCTTTGTACCACAAACTCCCATTTTACAACCAGATGAGCATCTTTACTGTGTAGGGTCCCCTGCCTTTACATGCTGTGCAGGAGGCCTATAAGATCTGTAAAAGGGGAAGGAGGGAAGAGCTGTCCTTCCAGAGACTTGTTCTGCAGAGCACAGATCTTCTCCTGAACTGCTGGCTACCAGGGACCTGCTCTCGGTTTCCTGTACCCCCAAAACTCTTCTTTGACAAAGACTCATCCCCACTCTGAGCTGCACCATCCTGCTCTGTGTTAAAGTCACCTGTAAGATCACAGGACCAAATGGGTCCTGTCACCACTGCCCAGCACATCCACAGCTCTGGTTCAGCTTGAAGAAGGCTTTTTCAGGCTCTGATGATGGTAAAAATCACCTCTTAATACCTGTCAGATACTTGGAACCATCCAAGGTAAATCAGGTACACTGCGATAAAGCAAAACAGTAGCAATTTTCCTTGTCAGTTAGTCCAAGAAGTTGCTCCAACATGTTACTTAACTCTATAAATTACTTACTGGTGGATCCAAAATGCTTTGAACAAAGTGACTCTAGAGAAAGAAAAAGAGAAAGTGACCAAAATCAGAGGCTGCGTCAAATGTAAGCAGCGTATGATTAACACAATTATACCATCTAAGGAACAGCATCATTAAGAAGATATAGACAATTCAAAAATCAGTTTTTAGTAAGAGATATGTAAAGTGATATCAAACCTAGCATAAAATAGTCTATCCCCTGGCATGTCAAGCCTGGTTGCTCTCCTAGGAGCAGCCCTTACTAATTGACCTGATGGACTGTGGTTGACTGCTTGTTCTCATACCCCTCAAACCAATAGCTTCATGGCTACATTAAAATTATGCTAAGGACTGATGTGCTCTTTAACAGGAACTGTTACACGGATTTCACTGAAACGTTAATCAGGCCCTTAATTCTCAAAGAACTACTATCCATGGTCATGAAAATTTGGATTTTTATTTATTTATTTATTTATAAGAAACAGCACGGTGCTGTATCTAACATAAACACTGACTTCTCTGTTCAGTTCAGGTCTAGTAGGTTACTCTGTATTTGTTATGTGTTTTTTTTTTAAACAGATGCATTAAACACCTGAAATGGATTATGACCAGGTTAATGGATCAAGTTATGGAAAGAAACTATACTCTGAAATGTAGAGATGAAAAGAAGGACAAGGGGACAACAAGAAGAGTTGTTATCAAAACTTGTCAGCCGTGACTTTTTCCCCATGGTCATTGCCTCTTGAGTGTGCACTACCTGACCTGCAGTGATTCACGTACAGTTCTGGGCTTCCATAGGTAATTCTGGGATGGACTGTGTGAACAAGTAATGTAAGCTATGTTCTCTTACAACAGAAAATCAAGATGTTACTCAGTTTTGATAAACTTTTGAATAAATACCATGTCATCCAAATGGACACGCTCTACATACTGCTTAAGCAAGTTTTGCAATTGCACATTGAAAACTAGACCAGCCAGTAGTTCCATTATCAGTGATCTCTCAGGGGAATATATCCAGGAGTGCTTCAAGAAGGTTCTGTTCAGGGTAGTATTATGGCAAGAGCTGTGCTAGCAAGATATTTTATTTTAATCATGAGCTTTGAAATAGATCAGACACTGAATTTTATATGTCAGATTATCTAACCAGATACTTTGGAGATTGTTTAAGCTCATGTTCCTGTGTACAAATATGAAAGCAATACAATAAAGACTGACCTTTTCCATGAAAAAGAAAGCAGTCATTTGTTGGAGTTGTTCTTTTTCCCTTTGAACAGAAAATAATTTAAATATGCTTCCAGGAAATTGCAGTTTTCCTACAGGTGCCTGGAAGTAGTTCCATGTTACTGAGATGGCCAGCATACAGGCAATCCTGCTACATGAAAAATTACTTGAAAAATCAGACCTGAAATGAAACACCAGGAACCATGCAGTGTTGGGAGAAAACAAACAAACAAACAAGCAACTAACATGTTATTGTGTTATTTGTGCAGCTATTTTACTGTTTTTATCTTACTGGTATATTTTAGAAGTCTGGTTTTCATAACAGTGCAGTTGCTAAGCAAAGTTGATATATGAAGAACATTTCAGATAAAGCAGAATTGAACATGTTTCTTCTGAAATTTCTCCATACACTGTATCTGCCCCCTGCAGCCTGTGTCTCTGTCACCTGCTCCCAGCTTGGGCTTTCAGACCAAGACAGATGGCATCATGAGTGCCCTGGCAGCAAGGATGAAGGAACAAGAGAGCAGCAGTTTAGCTCCCACTTGAAGCAATGACAAAGACCTTGTGTATCGAACTCCTTTTTCATCCTGGTATTCTCAGTGTGAATGCTTGAATGGCATTTCTGAACTCCTAGCGCAGTAGAAATTTGTGCATAGTCCCCCAAACACAATTTTCAGCTGCTCCTGCAAGAGGTGAAGCACTGCCATGAAATTACATAGCTTCCTCCAAAATAGGTTATTAGATGCACTTTGGGAGCCTAAAGCAAACAAGTGCTTTGTTCCAGGCATTCCCTGGCTTGCAATTCATGGGTGAAGTCACTTAGGACACAATATTCTGACACATAAGAACACGTTTAGGGATCTAAATTGCCACGTAAGCACCTATATAATGAATAGTCAAGTTTAAAGACTTGTAAAATTTGTGTTCACATAGCCATGTGGTTCTAACACAAGGAATACTGCATTTTGCTACTGAAGGCAGCATGCCTGGCGTCTATATAATTAGGACTTCATACTGTTCAGAGACATCTTACACCAAGTATTTCAGGTCACATGTGTGTCATTTCAAGAACATGGTTGAGTTTTTCATTATGCTTACTGTGGTATCTACTGCTCGGTAATCATTCCCTGCAGTGGGTTTACACCACATGATGCACAGATCAAGGAACACAAATTCCACCAAGTAAGTCACTTCAGAAGTTCTGAATCAAAGATGAAGACTTCTGATTTCTTTAGACATTTTAGCGATAGGGAAAAAATACTTCAATTGAAAGTAGATCTGACTACCATCGTAACATAAGGCTTATATTTTAGTAAGGCTTCACAGATAACAAAAAGAATATGGGCATAAAGAGACAAGATAAGCATTCTTCTCATCCTAAGGGGGGGATATGGTTTAGTGGGGACTGTTAGTGTTAGGTCAGAGGTTGGACTCGATGATCTTGAGGTCTCTTCCAACCTAGAAATTCTGTGATTCTGTGATTCTGTAAAAGGAGATTTTAGAACACTGATTTGATCAGAGTAGCTTTTTTAGGGTAGCCAGTGAATTCAGTCTTCTACACACAAGGCACTCAATTGATAAAAGCATTTTCCATGAGTTTTGTGCCACAATAGTATCCACCCAGACTTTGAACCTTGATTAATTTAAAAACTTGTAACTACAAAAAGCCTGAAATAATTAAAACAACTTTTTTTGCTGTTATTAGTAGGCAGCTTCAGTCAGAAGTTTTATGTCTTCTAGTTTGGACGAACAGCCTGCCAGTTGGTCATGCAAGATCCCACTGCCTGTTAGGAAAGCATTATTTCTCCATTTCAGACCACTGAACTGGTAGGTGCCAGCAGGACCAAGCTAACTCCCGTGCATATTCCCTGCCTTTAACAGGGAATGCAGGAGCTCTTCACGTGTTACTATGTTCAGAAGCCAGCAGTGTTTTCCCAGTGCTTCAGAGAAAAAAATCAAAATAATTTTCAATAACTACTGCACGCTACTGTAAAAAGAAATACTTTTATTAATACTTTTTTTAAAATCATGTATAAAAAAAAAAATAACACAACCAAAACACTGCATCAGAATTTACAATATGTACACTATAAGCACGCATCTCCCACTAAGAGAACAGTAGAATACCCAACACCATTTTAGCAGTCTAGACAGTTGCCTATGTAAGGTTAGCGTATTCTTAGATTCAGTCACAGTGAAGCCTAGATGCAGAGTATATCCCTACAGGTGCATTTGTCATTCAAAGGTTAGCTAGAGGAAGCTGAGACAAGGGCTCACCATAGCTCTGCATGGCTGGAGCATCATAAGCTGATGGGAATGTCACACTGAATTTAGTTCAAACTACTTCCCATTCAAGCAGCTGTAAAGAGGGGGAATATGAATGAGATTTTTCCACAGCTCTGGCTAGAATTTGAAGACCCAAGCAAGTAGTGAAGAAGAATGCCATTTCCTAGTTACAATCACATTCTCCGTAGTGTTTTTCACCTTACTCTCTTGTACTATTGCTTCCACGTACTAGGTCTGGTTCCTGGCTATTCAGATCAGCAGAAATCATTTGTAATTTTGAACTGTTTAAATTGTTGTTTGTTTTTTTTTGAACCACATCATAACATCTGGAGTTGAGAGATTTTCATTTGCAAAGGTCCTTGGTCAGCATTGTCAGTGCTTTCTAGCTAAAGAAACTTCAAGGATGTAGTTGAGCTAATGGTGAGGTAGCAAAATGAAGTACAGAAGCCTCCCTTCCTTATCTGTAGCATATTGAATACTTCTAGCTTTTACTTTCCAGCTGATTTCCTGTCTCCAGACAGCATTTGGACATGGAACAGAGTGAAAGTCCTGACAAATGCCTCTGCACGATTATAAATTCTTTTCATGCTCACAGAGCTGAAGTACAAAAAAAGAAGGAAGGAAAAAAAAAAAAAAAAAAAGAGGAAACAATTGTTTTGCTATTGCAGTCAGCAGGGCTGGTGTACAGCCCACATAACACTGATGCCTGCAGAATGGATACGTTAGCACTTTGAAATATGCCACTTCCTATTATTGCCTAATTCTTCAGATTCTTCAAATTCTGTAAAAGCAGGCCACAACAACAACACAAAGTAGTGATATCTCTTTCAAGCAGATGTATGTACATTTACTTGCCACCTGTAGGTGAGAGACTAAATCTCAGTTCATGTATATGAGTGAGAAAAGTTCATTTCAGAAGTTTAACTTGTGTTTTCAGTTCCTCAGTTTCATGCATATATACTTTAGTTGACATACTATACAACATAGAATCTCTTCTCTTCTCTTAATATCTCACACAAAGTGAAATTCTTTTACTCCTTAAAATTTAAAAAAGCTTTTAAAGTTCTCATTTGTGACAGAGTAAAAACCTGAGGATTTTTGTGCAGAGCTGAAGTTATTTATGTATGTTTGTCTTTCTGCTACATCATCAAAAAATCCCTGATATTTTTCTAGTTTAAATTCATTTTTCTTTTTTTTTTTTCTTAATCTTTTTGAAGAAATCTGTAACAAGACAGTTATTTGATTAAAAATACCTTTCTTAAGACAGCATCACAATTAGCATCAAGAAATGAGCCACTTCTAGATTTGCAACGATAATATTACAATTTCAGACTGGTCATTCCTACTTATGCTTCAGACCCTAATAGTTCAATTTAATCCAGATTTGCAGGTGAAAACTGTAACATTGAGCTTTAGTAGCCTGAAATCAAAAAGAACTTAATTGCAGTTATCATTGGCACCATGAAACAATTAGATTTGGTCTGTTGTTACTTCAGATGTTGCATGTACAGCAGCTTGCAGCATACACTTCAATGAAGCGATGATGGAATTTTATACTACCAATAAGCTGGTGACTCCTGTTCACCTTTAATGGTGAGCAATATCCAGATGTCCTTTTCTTCTGTGAAACTTGATGTTACTTAACTGTTCATCACTTCAATGGAAGCACAACCAAGTTTTTAAAAAGCATATAAAATGACCTTTTAAAAACTTGAACTCCATCATTCACTCACTTCAAGCATCACCCAGAAGCTTAAATGGGACATTTTTCATTTTGCCACTATTATGAAAATCAGCATTTAATTCCTGATTCATAAAGCAGCAAGAAGATGGGAAAACATAGACGAGACCTTCCCTTCTCCTTTTTGTTACCTGTGAAACAATAAGAACAGAATATCAGATCTGCTTAATCACCATTAAAATCACCAAACCCACATATAAATTATGTGCTCTGAAAAAACATGGCAGTGGCTGGTAGATGATGGATGTTTCCAGCTGGAAGACTGGATCCAGACTCCCTGCTGCTACCAGTCCTCAGTGCTAATGAAGACAAAGGTTTCCTCACCTGCTCAGATGCTACACTATTGCGGCAACCTGTGCCACAGAAATGCATAGGAGATATGAGAGAATAGTTGCAGAGGAAGGTGTGAAGGATTAGAGAAAACTTTGCATTTACGAGGCTTCCCAGCATTGTTGTTAACCCTAATGTCTTCTCACCTAAGTAGGTATGATTATTCAACATGACAAAGAGTTAGTACTTCATTGTGCTGTCAGCTATTAAGAATCACTACAGATTTTTCCTGCCGCCATATAAAGCAAGTCTGTGATGCTGGTATGGTACCAACTCTTCCAAAACCTGTAGCCTGATCAGAGCTATAAAAACAGCTAAACCTACATATGGTGATCAGTGCACTGAGAGCAAGAGTCATGCAAAACTTTGGCTCCCTGCATAGCTTCAGGAGCCATTGGCAACTGCAGCCTCTCCCAGGGCCATTCAAAACCACAGCTCAAGCAGCCTGGAAATCATTCTGCAATCTGTTTTTGCCTATCTGAAAGAAAGCCAGAAGGCCTCTGGTGTCTGACTTAACTTCTTATTCCTTACATAGATTGTTTCACTGATGCATCCTGAAATTCTTTTTTTTTCAGCAGCAAGAGGAAGCACATGGCAGAAAGCTGGGAGGAGAAATCCTGTACTTAATTTCCTGTAACTGCCTCTGCAGCTCCGTCAGCTCAGCAGCGTCAAGGCAGTAAAATCCTTGTGACCATCAGCAAAGTGTTTTCTACAGATGTAACTATTTCAAGGATCCTTGAGACTGCGCAGGCAGAATCAGTGAAGTGAAAGTGGCTGCCTGTGGGCAGACTGCACAAAAAGGACTGACAACAAGGAATGCAGGGACCAACGGTTTGCTCTGGGTACAGTCTAGGCACAGCTTCATAGGGAGGCAAAACAGGTGTGGAGGATTAAACACAGGAAAAGTGAAATGACTGACTAAAAATCAGTACAAAACAATCTCTGAGGAGTACAGAACTCATCTATTAAACATGAGAATAACAGTTATTTAGTTTTGACCAACAGAAAAGAGCAGATTAGCAGGCCAGCTGCTAGTCACTGAACTGGGCTGAACCAGGAGTAGCTGATAAGGTTCATTAATTCTTGCCCACTCAGCCCTTGCAGTCTGCTAGCACTGGTGTTGGGGAAATGGGAGATTGAGGTGAGTGGCCGAAAGGAAATTTGTTGCAATATTGATCTATGCCAGTCACTGGCAGCATCTCTTTATGTAACCATGTAGGCATTTATGCTGTTCCTGTGCCTGGTGCCAGTGAGACCTATCAGAATCAACAGCTGCCACAAAAACAAATCTTGTTATCTCAAGGAGCCAGAATTTATGTTACCTTTACAGGATACAACTGAACCTACACACTGATCCTCGAGTCCAGCTGCTGAAGGTGTTCAAGAACTCCATAAGGAATTGTAGGATTCCATATCCTGTAAGTGCATGTTAAGAAAGGAAAGGTTTTAAGACATATAATTTATTTCACATGTTTGGGGTGTTTTGTTTTTGTGTTTTTTGGTGGCAGTGATTTTTTGTTGTTGTTGTTTTGTTTTTGCTTTTAAGTTGCCTTTCCATTTTGAACATCATTCTATTCTACAGAAGTATTTAAGCAATGGAACAAATGAAAATTCATTTTAATTTAAAAGAAAGCAGTCCACTCCCCCATACTCTAGCTGACTCTGGTTGCAGGACACACTACAGTCCTGCCTCCCTAACTATTCTTTACTTTCCCTTCAAACTCCCTTCCCCTCAATATGTACTGGCAGCTTCAGTCTATTTAACCTGTAATGATGGCTGTTAATTGTTTATCCCTCAAATACAAGTCCTGCAGCACAGAGATCATTACAGTTGGAAGAAGACGTGATGGAAGGCTCAGTGTAAACTGTGCTTAAAGCAGTACAAGCTTGCTTGCCTGGAGCAATGGAAAATTAATACTGCTGAAACCAGAGATGACATTTTTAACATTTGTGTGACTGCTTTCATATTTTGGTGATTACTTTTTTGTGCCTCGTATAAATCTGTCAAATACAGAAGACAGCTTTAGCATGAGTTCGAATTCAATTTGCAGATCTATTTGATATATCTTAGATGTGTATGTATAAAGAAACTTACAACAAGTTTTTTATATGGGGGCATTTTCGTAGGCTGTCAGTCAGCTGTTGGGCTCCAACACCAGTTATTTTGTTATACTGAACACTGAGGGGAGTAAAAAAACCTTGTTAATTCAGATCAGATCAAATACCAGTGCAAACATTTCTTTCAAAAGCAGAAATAATATAGGGGATTATCTGTGTATAGAGGGGAAAGAAAAAGTAAAAAGAAAATAGATCCATGATTAAAAAATAAATTAAAAAAAATCAAAAGGACAAACTGGGACTCCATTAAGTTAGGTTACTCCATCTGTTTCCTTATTCTATGTACCTAAGGTCTTTCTCCATCTCCCCATGACCATATTCTCCCAACTAAAACCAAATTTTCCTCTCCATCCAGTGACTGCTTATCCGATTTTTTTTCTCACCTCCAGATTGATTCATCCTACAGCACTCGGATGTCATGGAGCTAAAGTTTCCCCTTTTTCCCGCTGAGCCAACAAGTTATATATACTCATCAGAAGGCATTAAAGATGGACAGGGATGTTCCTCCTCAGTTAGCAAGTTTTGCATCTATGAAACTCTTTCCCTGTTCTGCATCTTCCAGGTATTTTAAGAAAACATTGGCCAGTTTGTAACTGCCTCCTTGAGCTGCTGCCCTTGGGGCTCCAGGTGACATGAGCAACAGCCCAGCCACTAACTGGCTTCCTGACAGAGTGTCTGTCCATGAGATTGGCTAGAGAATGAGCAAGGAATGAAATACATCCAACTTTGAGTTCCAGACCCAGCTGAGGGGCAAAGCTACACCCAATGGTGGTAGAAGTGTGTAGATTTCCAGACTCCTGCCACACATGTCCTTCATCAGTGGCTGGCTATGTTACCAAGTACCTAGAAAACTATGAAGTCATGTCCTTTGCCATAGCCTATAACGGTTCCAAAGAATCTACAGTGAATTGTTCCTTAAACCCTTCCAACCACTGACTGACTAGACTCCACCTAAGTGCCTTTGCCCTTCGCACAAGACTGGGAATAATGCATAGCTTTCCTGTATGGAGAGGCAACAACAAGACAAGCCTTCAGCATTTCCTAAACTCAGATCAACCTTCTCAAGAATTTTCTGCCATTGCAATCTAAGTTTTCAGGCAGATATGGATCAGGGGTCACCTCAATCTTTCCACAACTTTTCTGTCTCAACGAATGTCAGCTTCAAAGCCCAACATAACCACGCAGATTTTTTTTCCCTGCAAATTTTGTCTCCTCTACCCTCAGCGTGGAAGATCTGAATGTTCAGTATCCAAGCAAATAAGCTCTCCTGATCCATTTCAAAAGATTTCATACTCACTCTAGCACTCTTAAAGATGCCATCGCATGAAGAACTTTTGCAAGATTTTCTGCTCCAAAATCACAAATGTTATTATTGTACAAGCTGCAGACAACAAAACCAGTATAGTTACAATCAAATAATGAACAATGTAAACAGATTATATATTAGATCACGAAATTCTGGATATAATTGGTACATCTTAACTTCCAATTTTCCTTATCTAATTGCAGCTAATCATTTCATGTTTCTAAACAGTTTCATGGTTTCTATATCAAGCAAGGCAAATAGCTTTTTTCAGCTTACACAGCTACAGCAAAAATAGGTCTAGGATTCTTAATGAATACTAAGAACATTCCTGACTACATCAGAGAAAATTAATAATCTGCAAGAAAATGAGGCTCAAATCTTTGGTGCACTGCATTCAAAAGTTTTCAATGTGAGCAAATTATCCAAGAAGTGCACACCACAGTTTTTTGTATTCCCCCTGAGACACTTCATTCAGGCCTATGCCAGAGACATAAATGAAGCGAAATGGGCCATTTGTCCCTTACCAGCAAGTATGCGCTACCTCACTGATGGCTTAGCAAGCTCTGCATACATGTAAGCTTGCAATGGATCATGTTCTTGTGTGTGAATTTGTAAAGGGCATTATTAAGCACTAGGTATTATGAATTAGATTTTAAAATCAGTATGTTCATTGTTATATTCCTGAGATATGCTTCTGTATGACTACACTGGGTCATATGTTTATCTTCTCCTTTCAGGCTTTGTAGTCAAAACTTGGCTATTGCAAGTTGTGTGCACATGGATTCTGTTTCCAGTGATTTCTGACAGAGACAGTAAGGTGTGTTATGTAAAACAACTGAACAGGACACAACCACTTACCTTAGTGTTGTTAATGAAGATAAGGCAGGAAGAGTTGTAGCTAGTTTCTCTGCACCCACATCTGTTATCTTATTCTGTGATAAGCTACAGTAGATGAGATGGCTTTGTTAGCTGAGCACATTTATTCTAATTGATTAATATATGGAGCAAATTGATTTTAGATGTTGTCCCGAACAACAAAGGTGATGCTACAATACAGTGTGATAAGGCCTAGAGTTACCATTAACCCAAGACCTTTCCTCAGGATTTAAGATAATACAGTTTCAAGAGTCTTTCCTTACAAAAAAGATTAAATTTGGCACATTTCTGCAAAAAATTGAGAGCAGTAACTGGTACTTCTCAGTCAAAAAGAAAAGCAGGAAAAAAGAAAGAAAAACAAATACCCAGAAAAATATTACTTTAAATGGACCCCAGTATCTAGTTCTGTGTGGTAAATAAGACACTGCACACATTTACACTCAGAAGTCTACTGACTTCGAAGGACTATAAGAAGGTAACGAGGCTGTGCAGGGACAAAATTAGAAAGGCCAAAGCTCATCTGGAGCTCAATCTGGCTACTACCATTAAAGACAACCAAAAATCTTTTTACAAATACATCAACACAAAACGGAGGACTAAGGAGAATCTCCATCCTTTACTGGATGCGGGGGGAAACTTAGTTACAAGAGATGAGGAAAAGACGGAGGTGCTCAATGCCTTCTTCGCTTCAGTCTTTAGTGGCAATACCAGTTGTTCTCTGGATACCCGGTACCCTGAGCTGGTGGAAGGCGAGGGGGAGCAGAATGTGGCCCTCACTATCCACGAAGAACTGGTTGGTGACCTGCTACAGCACGTGGATGTGCGCAAGTCGATGGGGCCGGATGGGATCCACCCAAGGGTACTGAGAGAACTGGCAGAGGAGCTGGCCAAGCCACTTTCCATCATTTATCAACAGTCCTGGCTATCGGGGTAGGTCCCAGTTGACTGGCAGCTAGCCAACGTGACGCCCATCTACAAGAAGGGCCGGAGGGCAGACCCGGGGAACTACAGGCCTGTCAGTTTGACCTCAGTGCCAAGGAAGCTCATGGAGCAGATTATCCTGAGTGTCATCACGCAGCACTTGCAGGGCAAGCAGGCGATCAGGCCCAGTCAGCACGGGTTTAGGAAAGGCAGGTCCTGCTGATTTCCTTCTATGACAAAGTGACGCACGTGGTGGATGAGGGAAAGGCTGTGGATGTGGTCTACTTGACTTCAGCAAGGCTTTTGACACCATTTCCCACAGCATTCTCCTCAAGAAACTGGCTGCTCTTGGCTTGGACTGGCGCACGCTTCGTTGGGTTAAAAAATGGCTGGATAGCTGGGCCCAAAGAGTCGTGGTAAATGGAGTCAAATCCAGTTGGAGGCCGGTCACTAGTGGCGTCCCCCAGGGCTCGGTGCTGGGGCCGGTCCTCTTTAATATCTTCATCAATGATCTGGACGAGGGCATTGAGTGCACCCTCAGTAAGTTTGCAGATGACACCAAGCTAGGTGCATGTGTCGATCTGCTTGAGGGTAGGAAGGCTCTGCAGGAGGATCTGGATAGGCTGCACCGATGGGCTGAGGTCAACTGCATGAAGTTCAATAAGGCCAAGTGCCAGTCCTGCACCTGGGGTGCAATAACCCCAAGCAGAGCTACAGGCTGGGAGATGAGTGGTTGGAAAGCTGCCAGGCAGAGAAGGACCTGGGAGTGATGGTGGACAGTCGGCTGAATATGAGCCAGCAGTGTGCTCAGGTGGCCAAGAAAGCCAACACCATCCTAGCTTGCATAAGAAGCAGTGTGGCCAGCGGGGCTAGGGAAGTGATAGTCCCCCTGTACTCGGCTCTGGTGAGGCCGCACCTTGAGTACTGTGTTCAGTTTTGGGCCCCTCGCTACAAGAAGGACATCGAGGTGCTCGAGCAAGTCCAAAGAAGGGTGACGAAGCTGGTGAGGGGTCTGGAGAACAAGTCTTATGAGGAGCGGCTGAGGGAGCTAGGATTGCTCAGCCTGGAGAAAAGGAGGCTCAGGGGCGACCTTACTGCTCTCTACAGGTACCTTTAAGGAGGCTGTAGTGAGGTGGGGGTTGGTCTGTTCTCCCACGTGCCTGGTGACTGGACAACGGGGAATGGGCTAAAGTTGTGCCTGGGGAGTTTTAGGTTGGATGTTAGGAAGAACTTCTTTACCGAAAGGGTTGTTAGACATTGGAACAGGCTGCCCAGGGAAGTGGTGGAGTCACCATCCCTGGAAGTCTTTAAAAGACGTTTAGATGTAGAGCTTAGGGATATGGTTTAGTGGGGACTGTTAGCATTAGGTCAGAGGTTGGACTAGATGATCTTGAGGTCTCTTCCAACCTAGAAATTCTGTGATTCTGTGATCCTGTGACTACAAAACTGGATAGTTTCTAGAGCAGAAAAATGAAAGCTAGGAACATGTGACAGCAAACTACCTTTTCCCACTTTAAAAATCAGATCACTGCTGTTCCTGTAGAGACTCCTGACTGTGAGAGGCTCTGACTGGGGTTGGCTACTCATCCCTCTCCCAGTCCCTCAGTAAAGTCAGAAACAGCAAGGTGAGGTCACCTAGAATCCCTACTTCCACATTACTCCATTTCCTTTTGTTTTCTCCTGCCCTTTGATTTTTGCTGTCCCAAGGATATATCAATATATCTGCCTTGGTCTGGCCTTCATCGTTCTTCCCTGCATTGCGATAACTTTTGAGGCAGCTGTCTGAAACATTTAAATAAATCATATACACCTTGTTCTTTTTTTTTGTTTGTTTTTATTTTTTAAATGGAATGTGCGCTCGCTGTTTTAGGGAAAAAGTAAAATTATTATGCTTGAATGGAAATAAGGAATTGTCATAGGATTAAACTATTTCTCTAATGAATGTACAGATTAAATATGTCCATAGACTAATTATCATGCCCATGGGTTATTTATGCCCATAGTTGTTAACACACAGTCCCTTAAGCTCTTGGTTTGATATATTTCTTTTAAAAGAATTCCAGAACTGTTAACCTTGAAACTTACTTCAATATTTCCAGTGATCTCAGTGTTGGAAAGACTTCAGATAGACTCTTTGCTCCTTCATCTCCTATGCCATTTTCACTCAGAGCATCAAGGCTGGGTGACAACAAAAAAGAGAGAATTAGCTTCCCTTTTAAACTAAATTTTCATGGTTTGTTCACCTCAGAGACCACTCTGTGTATCTTGAGAAGCTACTTCTCTGCAGTGGCCTCAATCAGCAAGAACCATCACACAAATTCCATTTTCTCTAATAAGCAGCTTTCTGCTTCTCAAATTTATAGCCTAAGAGTTTTTTTTTCACTAGTTGAATGGCTTGACACATTCCCTTTGATATGCAAATGGTAGCACTTAATGCCTCACTTCCACCATACGCTGAAGATTATTAAAGTGTTTATGAAATAGCTGTGTTCCAGCCATGCTGAAATGAGATTTCTTGTGCACACAGAAACACAAAACTGACAAAATCCAGCAGATGTCCTAAATCCCTGCCTAAACATCAACTTTCCCGATAGAAAGCATTAGAAATTAAGTTTTTCCTCATTCAGGTATCCAGATGGAGAGAGTTTTAGGTAGTCACAATTTCAGATACCGAATCCCCTTCCAATCTGATAGACAACACTATTGATACATTGGGCTTGTTCCAATTTCAGAGCACTACTGTTTTCCCAAAATATAAAAAGGCCAGATACAACAGAGAGAAATGGCCAATAGATTGATCCATTGTGACCAAATGCCCTCTTCCCTCTGGTATGATGGCAAAGTATTGGCTATCGCTACAATTGTTTCTAGTGTAAAGCAGTTTAAAATTCAGAAACTTAAAATTCAGCAGCTTAAAATTCAGAAAATCCCCTGCAGTTGCTCCCTCCCCCCTCCCTCTCTGGGATGGGTGAGAGAAATGGGAAAATGAAGCCTGTGGGTTGAGAAAAAGAAAATTTATTAAGACAGGAAAATAACAATAATAATAATAATAATAATAATAATAATAATAATAATAATAATAATAGTACTACTACTACTAATGTGTACGAAACAAGTGATGGACAATGCAATTACTCAACATCCGCTGACTGATGTCCAGCCTATCCCCAAGCAGCCAGTCCCCCCACCCCGGCCAGCCACCCCTCTAAATTGTTTAGCATGACACCAGATGGTATGGAATACCACCTTTGGTCAGTTTGGGTCAGCTGTCCTGGGTCTGTCCCCTCCCAGCTCCTGCTGCACCCCTAGCCTGCCCGCTGGCAGGACAGAGCGAGAAGCTGGAAAGTCCTTGGCTTGGTGTAAGCACTGATCTGCAACAATTAAAGCATCAATGCATTATCAACACTCTTCTCATCCTAATCCAAAACATAGCACCCTACCAGCTACTAGGAGGAAAATTAACCCTGTCCCAATTGAAACCAGGACAGATGGTTTGCCATGCGAGAGAATAAATAGTAACTGGATTTCTTAACAAATTATTTCTAAAGATGCTGCTGGTAAAGGAAGATGCATGTGAAGAATAAAACTAGGTACTAGTTGAGTTTATCTTTTTTTTTAATCTTTATATCTTTTACATGGAACAAATCCACAAAAGCCCAGTCTCATACAAGTGCTACCAGAAGTTGAAGGTGCTGGTTGACACCAGAGGGTGTCAACCAGCACAGGCACACATAGTGAAGCTAACCCCAAAATGCAACACTACTGCTGGTTCAGTAGGAAACCTGTTCTCTCCTGATGCAGACATGAGAGTGAGTCCCTCAGAGACCTCACTATGTGGGAGTCTGAGGCTGGAGCCCATTATGGAACTTGTATGAAGAAATCAGAAATCCATGGGCACCCCACGGGGCACTGCATGAAATCTTTCTCACAAGATATTAATCACTGAGTAACACACAAGGAGGTGACCAAAGGGCTGTCAAATGGACCACTATCGGGCATCTTAACAGAGCTGAAGGGCCATAGTTCATATTCTGCAGTTATATTCATTGAATGTTTTTGTTGTTCAGTTTGTTCATTGAAACAAATAGCCTGTTGGAAATACAGTGTTTCTTGGGTACATCAGCTCCTCCACCATTATGGGCTGCTGAGGAGTAGCATTAGCAAGGTTAATCTTTAGCATTACTCACTCTAAATGCTGAAGTGATGGAAATGACGGCAGAATTTCCACAAGTTTTAGAAATCCCTGAAGGCCATATGCTGGACCTAGACTGGAAGAAAATAAACAAATATATAAATGTGCAGCAGTTGTTTCATGCTCAGAAACAGCAAAAGGTATAAATCTGTAAAGTCCTTCCTCTACAGCTTCAGATTCAAGCTAGTTGACATTCCTCAGAAGCATCCATTCCCTACAGTCTGCAGGGAGGACTTCTGCTCTGAATCCTCCAGATGAGGATCAAGC